GGTGTGAAAACTCTGATAGAATCTGGGTATGAACATGTCTATGATGCTGTGGAGAAGCCTCTGCTTTTTGCTCAAACTGCTGCCTTTTTGGAGGTAAATTTGAGGCTATGTTTCTATTGTGCTTATAGCAATAAGTCAGGTTACTCTTTATGTGGAATTATAGTGCAGGGATTGTCTATGCCGGGACTAATAATGAAATGAATGTTATTCTTATTCCGCATTTTATCCCCCATAAAATAACACATAGATTACCGCATAACTTAATTCACGATATTTAATACCGCCAATCATACGTTGTGCGACAATTATTTTTTCTTATGCGGGCAACCAAACATTGTATTATCTTTAGGCGAGATTTATGTATTATCTTATGCGGGATTTTATGCTGGGATTGATTGGATTAAAGCAACCTCTTGCAGAAATGCAAAGTAAGCCTGCGTACTTAAGACCCAATGTGGTCCGGTACAATCCACGAAACGACCCCTAAGAGGTATGATAATTATGGATGTAGGATATAATGGTATATTAGAATTAAGGGATGGTAAGAAGGATCCTTGTTGCTACTTTATTGATTAAATTGACTTAATGTTAAAACAAGTTATGGGAGTACAGCCTATTGGCTGGATGAGTTACAAAGTCATGAACATTCACAATTAAAACAACATAATCTACATTTGAAAAGTCCTTCATAAGATAAAAACTAATCCTTTATTAATTGAGACTGATGCCAAAGGAACCAGTGAATCAGTCTCGAGAAATTTCGTGGTTCGAGACGAAGAGCCAAAAGTTTACAGAGAGAATCGATAGAGAAAAGAACTAGTGTATTCTGTAATTGATTGGTGGTAAATGAGTGCATTTACAAATACAAGTATTTAGAAGCTCAGTTATCATGTAACTTCTCAACTAACTTTAACCACTCCTAGTTCACCTGCATTAGATAACTGCGTCCAATAGACCTTATGTCTGCTGCAGTGCTGCATTTGTATACATCTTGGCTAACTGCGTTCTTCATTTTATTTGCTGCATCAGAGAATTGAACTCATACCTCGAAATTATGGCCCCTCACCCTTAACCAGGCCAAAGAAACTGAGAATCACATCATTTGTGACCTTATTTTCTTGTAAAATATCTTTGTCAATTGGAACTAGTATTGGTGTTTGGGAAAATTCCTAGCCACGAGTCACTTGTGTGTATTTTGACGTGTAGTTGGGTTGTAGTTCCATCATGTTGTCTTACTAGATTTTTTATTTTATTTTTCAAAATGGAATTTGAAGTGAATAAGTGCTGCAGGAAATGGTGAAATATTTTCTTGACGATGTAGATGATCATGTTGTTGTTACTGTTGTTATTATAATTATTGTTTATCATGAGACGCGAATGTTGAAAGAAGCCTAACATTTGATTTTTTTTCTCATATAAATTGCGGGCAGATACTTCATAGTCTAGTAGGTATGTTTACTTAACCGGAAGCCTTTTTCTATTCTGTGTTTAGGTAGAAGATTTTATATTACAGTAACTCCTCTATGTTTTTCCTCATGGTCAAATAGGTTTGGTACGATCTCCAATATCAGCAACTCTACCACAGATAAGTTCACGATTATATGTAACTTGGGGAATTTTGTGGAGTTTCCCTGAGGTTAGTGATTTCCTTGGATATCTCTATGGCATTGGAGCTTCTTTACCAATGACTGGCTTGCGGATTACAGGTCCGGACTCATATACTTGTTAGTTCTCTAGCGATTAGCTGGTCTATAACAGAGGTGAGGCTTGCTTATTCATACGCCATCAAATTGTGTCCATGTTTGAGATATCTCTTTGTAGTAACTTGAGACAGTAGCTTAAAAATCAATTCACCATCAGAAGAAGAGAACAAAAATTAAACATCAGGTCTCTTATCTAATATGTATGTTAAGAGATTTTGTTACTATATATGGGGAGAGAAAAAGAATATTGGGCGACAGAAGGCTGATGACAGTGCCAACTAACAGTAGTTTCAATGTAGAACCTTTCTGTTCCATTTACAGTTAAAGGTCAAAGAATCTTGCTCAAAATTGCGGAAAAGTATGTTCAAACTTTTAGGTAGAGCATACATTTTTGACAATCTCTTAACTCTGAGCGTAACACCTGTCTGTTCACTCTCTTAATAACCAAACATTTATGATGCTAATTAATCTCTCTTAAGGAAGAGTCTTACTCCATGTTGTAAGCTTAGAATCTCACAGGGTGGACTTAAGCATCATTATTGGTTTATAATTCATTAGAGAAATAAGAACAAATTTATGCTATTGCTTGATCACGTCGTAAAGTGATATTGTATCATTATTCTCCTTGTGCATCCCTTTCCATCCGCTAACCTGTCACCCCAACTGAGGGACAAATATGTTACTAAACATGCCATTTCATGACTGTTTAACTGATAATATTCATTGTGAAAATAATGTTTTGATACTGGTGCTAGTTCATGGTCAAAGTAGTATGTTAATACTGGTGTTATCCTCATGCTCAACTTCAGATTATTCGATATTCATTTTTTGGTACAAAGGAGGCATTCGGTTCTGCGCCTTCCTGGCTCTTGTGGCTAAGGTATAACCATTTAACTTTTGCCAGCATAGACTAGTGTGGTTGATGAGTAACAAATTGGGTTTTTACCCATTTTGCCACCTTTATAATAATGGACAGTTACCGTTTTTAGCATGTTCATAATAAGTCTGATTTTCTTACTGCAGGTATAGTACCTTCTTGTTGTTGTACCCTACTGGCATCACAAGTGAAGTTGGTTTAATATACAATGCCCTGCCTTACATGAAGGTACAAAGATCTCTTTTTCAATTTTTTTTCTCTTTTTACTCAAAAATGCGAATTAGATTAGCCATAGATAAGAGCATCTTTCTATCAATTTATCAAGCAAGTAATAATAAGAAAAATTTAAAGAGCATCTTTCTATCTATTAGTTGCTGAAGAGTTGGTGTAGCTATTCCTCTGTTGACATAGTTTATTTGGTCATAATTTTACTTAATTGGTCAGAAAATAAGTGACAAATGGCACTGACACAAGTTAATGATAAATGATGCTGGGAAATAGTGCCAAACCACCAATTGTTCTATCTAGAGAATTCTAATTGCAGAGTTGTATTGAACTTATATTGGAGTTTGAAGTTTCTATCAGAAATACATAAGTGACATTGTTTTACTTTCCCTAAGCCTTTCCAAAACACGTAAGGGCAAATTTCGAGACCATTATGTCCTAAAATGATTAACATGCCAAAATTTGTATTAGTTCTGTTCTTGCGAAGTTGTATCGGACTAGTTTAGGCTAATTGTCGATGAGACACTTCTTGCAAGTTATCGTGATGCTTAAAGTATTAAGTAGCTACCGCAGGTAGTTTTTTTTTTTCTTAAATTAAGAAACCAGACCTTGTGATATATAGTGCTCGTAATTGGCCCTAAGGTGTTCTCTGCTGGCAATGCCGACAATCTTAACTAAGTTTATAAGGCAGTTTTGGTTGAATATTTGTTCCTTGTTTGTGCTTCTGATTTAGTTTGCATACTTGCTACATCTTCTGATCAAACCACTTCTGTAGGAATCTGGAAAATATGCTGTTAGGATGCCGAACAAATGGAATTTCTCCTTCGATTACTACTATGCAGCACTTGTTTGCCTTGCCATTTATGTCCCAGGCAAGAACCTTATCACTCTTCTTACTAAAAGCATCTGCTTGTATGGCTAAAATATGCCGCTCTGTCTCTTTATTCATCGAGTTTACTGCATTTCTTCACAAAATTTATTCGGTTGTTAAAAGCTGTGAATTGATAAAATTGTCACGAAATGCAGGATGTCCTCACCTGTACAGATACATGCTTGGGCAGAGAAAGAAAGCACTCTCTAAATCAAAAAAGGAATAGGCTTTATTTTTATGTCTAAACTCAGCTTCTTGGAATTCTATTTGCGCAGAAGTGATATAATATTGATTTTTCTGATCCATTGGAAACTTTGCCACCTATTTGTTATTGATTTGGAAAAGGTCGAAACATTACCAGGTCTCTGACTGTAATGTGTTTATCTTGATTGAATGAAAACTCAACGAATAATTAAGACTTTTCGAAAGTGTTGGGATCAAGTGCTTACCATCATGGCAAACGGTATAGCTGAACAGCAAAGGCGCAACTTTATTTCTTAACCAATCCCAACAAGCAAGCGCCATGTTCGACCACGACTCCGACCGGGGCCATCCAGGCCCCTCGTGCGCCTTGCCATAGGCAGGATGTTAGCGTTACCCAACAATCCCCCTCCCAACACCTGCCTCATGCAGCATGTTGCTCTTGGGAATCGAACCCATTACCTTGGCTCTGATACCACTTGTTAGGATCAAGTGCTTACCATCATGCCAAAAGCTATAGCTAATAGCAAGGGTGCAACTTTATTTCTTAACCAAGCCAATCAAGCAAGCGCCATGTTCGACCATGACTCCGACCCGGGCCACCCAGCCCCCTCGTGGGCCTTACCATAGGTTGGATGTTGGCGTTACCCGACAGGAAGAACTAAATATTATCTGATACTTCAAATAACAAAGATCTCTCTGATAGAATATCAAAGTAAAGCACTTAAATTACACATGATAGAATGTCACCATTTCCCGTCCCTTATACTCCATAGGTTATCACGAAATCCTAATCCAAAATTCAACTTTGTATTTTATGCAAGCATTAAAAATAGAAAAAAGGCAGAGGCAAATTGTAAAAGCATTAAAATTCAGTTCTCAAGATATTGGAATTGATGATACCAGGCACAAGGCTTAGTTTAAATTTAATTAATTAATAATTCAAATTGGCACAATGATTGTGGAATTATTTATTAAGCTTGATCGAACCAATCCTCTACAATTTCAGCTTTCGGGTGTTTAAAGCAAGACAACCACTGTGATTAAACATAAATGTCATAATGTTTTATGACACAGATTATGTGATAACCTAGACTAACAATATTTAAGACCTAATAATTAATAAAAACTACAATAAGTTGCCAAATTAATTATAGATTTATAAGGTTAAGTTAGATACATACTATTATAATACAACAAAAAGAGACGAATACATAGGAAAGACACCAACTTTCGATGCTTTCAAGAACCATTAGCCAAACATGAATCTGAAATTCTTGGGGTTAGCCTTTTACATTAATCCACCATATTAGTAGTCAACAGATACAAAAAATAGTCACATCTTTGCTTTTAATTGTTATCTGACTTTGCTCTTTCCTTCAACCTGAGTAGGGCAGCCTGCCATATAAAAGAAAATTTAAAACTACATGGAAAACAAGAAGAATTAAAAAATGAAAAACTAAGGTGAGAATAAGAAAAACTAACCCCAACTTGAGAGAAGTATCAGAACTGTCGTCATCTTGAGGAGGAGGACCAGTAGAGTTACATGCATTAGTGACAGATTCAGATGATTGACCTTCCTCATTAATATACCCATTTTCTGATTCAACTGCTACTAATACTGCTCCTGGGTTGTTGTATCCATTATTGGATATCTCCATCACCTTCACATACATTTAATTTATCACTAAAATAATATATCAGTACTTGATTTCATGCTACGTTGCTCGGACTTTCCAAATAAGTAATCGTACTTATATCAGATCCTCCAAAAAAATGCAATACTTAAGGAGGTTCTCGTCATGCGGGGCAAATCTCACTATTGTTATAGTTACGGGTTCGGCAGGAAATTCCTATAACGACAGTTTCGCCCCTGGAACATAGGTTGCTCGGAGGTTTCTATAACGATATGAAGTTATTGAAGAGTCCGAGCAACCTATGTTCCAGGGGCGAAACTTTTGTTATAGTTACGGGTTTGGCAGGAGGTTCCTATAACGATAGTTTCGGCCATGGAACATAGGTTTCTCGGAGGTTTCTATAACGATACAAAGTTACTGAAGAGTCCGAGCAACCTATGCTCCAGGGGCGAAACTATTGTTATAGTTACTGGTTCGGCAAGTTGTTCCTATAATGATAGTTTCGACCCTGGAACATAGGTTGCTCGGAGGTTTCTATAACGATACAAAGTTACTGAAGAGTCCGAGCAACCTATGTTCCAGGGGCGAAACTATCGTTATAGTTACGGGTTCGGCATAAATGAGTAACTTTGGCTCAAACTTTATATTTGTATTAAAAAAATTAATATGTATGCTTAATCTATATTTAGCTTATCTTTACGTTATTACAGAAACACAAATGCAGGTGTTTGAAAAAACAAAGTGTTTATACCTGTTGCTTCAATCTTTCATTCTCTTCCATTAGTTGCATGCCCTGTGGTTTTTTACAATATCAGTACCTTTAATTGGACGAAAACCAAGTAAAATATTGAAAATTAAAGAGTTTTAACTTTCTATATAGTACATACAATATAAATAAATTTTTACACTATATATCACTGTCACTTAAATGATAACTAAAAATAATGTCCCTAAAACGTTGGTTATAGGTTAATATACATTGACAAGTTGTACAAAAGTTGAAGTATGTAATTCAGTGATCCAGACCTTTTGCTGAAGCTGGTTGATCTCTGTCATTATTTTATCACCCTGACAAATTAACAAAGCAAGTAGTGGCGTAAGGTAACCATGATCATCTATATAATTCGACGGATTTAACTTATATACACAGACAGTAACGTGACTTTAGAGTTTAGACTAACCTTTCTCTCTATGACGCGAGTCAATCCAGCTTCGAGAGACCTCTCTAATTGCTGCAACTCTTCAATACTTAATCCTTGGAGTTCTTCTCCCCTCATTTGCCTGTTAATAGAGGAGATGACTAAATCTTTTGTGGATCAACTTTTCTTAGATGAAAATACTAAGTAAAATATATAGAGAATTTCGAATATATACCTTAATCGATGACTTTTCTCAGATATTTCCTTGCTTAGTCTGGAGTAATTGCTGTTCTCTACTAGCTGCAAACAATACATTCACTCTTTAACAAGAAGGAAAAAAAGGGCAACCTCGTGCACAAAGCATCTCGCATTCACGCAGGTTTCGGAAGAGGGTTGTACCCTAAGGGGTGTAATGTAGACAATTTACTCTAATGCAAATATTAGTGGCTGCTTCCACGATACGAATCAGACGACTTTATTACTGTTCCAAGGCTTCCCTTCTCACTCTTTAAGGGCTAGTTTGGTACAAGGGATAATTAATCCCGGGATTAAATTTAAAATGAGTTTATCTCATGTTTGGTTGAGATAAAATTGCGATATAACTAATCCCGAGATTATAACGCTTATTTATCCCTATAGGATGGTGGAATAACTAATCCCTGGATAAGTTGTTTCCAACCAAACAACCCGTAAGAAACCATTTAATAAAATGCTTGCTAAAATAATGGACAAAGAAACTGACCTGCAGCTCAAGTGATGGTTGGTCTAATTTTTCCAAATTCTTTGAATGCAAATCACGCCTCTCAAGAATTTCCTTCATGCTTTTCGAAACAAAAGAAATTATAAGTTTCCATCAGATTGCGACAAAAGTAAAAAATTATCTAATCATATGATAAATTCCCTGAATGCTGAATAGGACATAGGGAACCACAATTAGGTTGTGATTGAGGTATATAGTTGATTAATCCAAGACATAAATGTTTTATTGCATATGAGTTGTGACAGTCATAATACGGCTCAAAAACTAAAATCTAGGTTCTAAATTAAAATATATATACATAATAAATAAATTTCTTAATACAAAGTATAACATAATTTAAACCAAAGTTATCGAACTCGATCGACCATAAATCTTACGCACTAGCTCCGCCCCTAATCCAGACCCTAAATCCATTTTCAATTATATGTAAAGATTGAATTTAATTATGTCCATGGATAAACTGATGTCTATTAATCCTTGTTTAACGAAGACAATACCAACATCATAAACAATGCACGCAAACAATAATCAAGCTGTATAATGCTCCAACTCTTCTTAATTTCTTATTCCTCTAATAATGGTACATTATAGTATTAAGTTTCCCTTTTCTTATTTTTCACAATTTCATACAATATTAACCACAATATGTAATAATATCTATATTGCTCAAAGTTACACCAACTAGTCGTAGTTATGATATTAAACACGTACGACTAAATTCAAGGAAAAATCAAGTCTCACAGCAAAATGAAGTCCTATAGCAAGTAATTGTACGTAGAACATGAAATAAAGCTACAACTTATTGAAGTCTACAATAGTAAATTCTGGATTTATAATGCTCTAATAAGTGAACTTTAGTAGTAATTTATAATAGAGATTACCATTTGAGCTAACTAAACTTGGGGGTTGTTTGGTTAACATACAAGGTATAATGATACATGCATTTAAAATAAGAGTATAACCAGCAATTATACTCTTAATATTATATACAGGAAAAGGTTCTTAATTAATACGGTTTTTCTTAGTTGCAATAAACACCCGAGAAATAAAACAAATTCTTATCCGAGATTAAATCATAATTTTAATATGAGGAACTAAACAAAACCAATGACATATATTCCTGAAACTAACATTAAAATTTTGAACCCTGCTATTTATTGTTAGGGGTCATTTGGTAGGATGTATTAGGGAAAATAATATATGCATTAGTTTTGGTATTATTTATCCCTTGTTAGGCAGTATTTTTTAACTTATGTATAATTAGTACTATTTTTACACATAGCAAACCATGTCATTAGCAATTAATATTTTTAAATACATGAATAATCATGTATAAAGAAAGAAATGTGCTATCATGTGGTGCAGTGGATGGGACTGCTCCTCCCTTAACCAGAGGTCTCGAGTTCGAGCCCTGGGTATGGAAAAATCCTTGGTAGGGAGCGCTTCCCCCCGAAAGGGGCCTTACGCGGTGCGAATCCGAATATAGTCGGGCTCCAATGCGGGTACCGGACACCGGTTGGGAACCAAAAAAAAAAAAAAAAACTTTTCCAAATCATTTCCAATGTTTTAGATGGTATTTTTGTAAACAAATAATTTTTACATTAAATATGTAATGCATGTTATTTTTAATACACCAAACCAAATGTCGATAAAAAGTAATCATAGCATAACTAATTCCACCATTACTAGCATACGTTGTTCAGTACTATTCTTCCACACCCTACCAAACGACTCCTTAGCGTATAGAAGTTAAACTCTTGTTTTAGATAAGTCCACAATTCTAAATTAACATCCTAGACTTCAACACACCACCTTTTATCATGGTGAGGCAACCATTCAAGTAAGACTTGCTAAGCTAAATAAAAATTTCATTCATCTTTTGCTAGGTATTACTAGAGGTTTTTAATTTTTATAATCGAGAATCTCCGAGGGTTAATGAACATGCCCCTTCTTCATTTAAATACTAAGTTTTTTTTGTATAAAAGATTAAATCTGTGATGCGTATTTTACCCGCATATCACAAATTGCGCTCTTATTGAGGGCTACTAGAGTCACAATCAATTACTCCCTCCGGTCGACAATAAGTGACCAATTTGCTTTTGGCATGTCCATTAAGAAAATACTAAATTCTATACAAAAATACATAGTATAACTAAACTATCCTTAATTAAATATTTAATGTAATAAGGAGTAAGAATTTTTTTTTAGAGATATGTACATAAGGGTAATCTTGTAAAAACAAATTGAATTGTTTCTTGATTATATAAATGGACACTTATTTTGGACTAAAATAAAAAAGTAAATTGGTCACTTATTGTGAACCGGAGGAAGTAGATGTTTCCATAAGGTTCAATATATACACAATAGGATAAACTCAAAGTGAAAGAAAATAGCAACCAAAATAGGAAAGGAGACTTGGATCATATAGTAGCTATGGGAGCCAAGAGCGCATCAAACATTTTCCTTTTTGCCAATATCTTACTATAATCCAAATGGTAAAGCATAATATTCCTAAAATATGCTATTTTTATTTATCCGAGAGAAAAGAGGTTTGTCCTATCCACCATAAATAGTTTATATGATAAGCTTATTTTATTTTTAGATAAGATATTGCCTTTTTGAAATAGATAAGATATGGTGGCCCTTTCCAAAACAAGATCCATCTTTTACTATTCGTTTTTGCTTATTGCCCACTGCATTGCAGGTTATTAATTAAAAATCAAATTATCACAACCCCCCTCAACTACTACTACTTACTATATCAGTCATTTTGTGTTTGTACATTTTTTAGTGTGATTTATTTTTTTTCTTTTCTTTTTTATTTTTTATTTTTTAATATTTTTTGGTCCTTGTCCTTTTGGGTTTTTTTTTCTGAAAAAACTTCCAATGTTCCTATCTTATTAGACAAAAATCTCAGGGTTTCCATTTATTATAAGCTCAAAAAAAAGTCAATAGCACTAAATGAAAGTTTCTTGAGGTGGGTTCTTTTTGGCTAGCTCATAATATTTCAAGGGTTTATGTGCATTATCAGTGTGAATATGTAACTTAATGAAAATGGTAACTAAACTTGAACTTACATTATTGGTATATATATATACATATATAAAATTCTTGGGACTATGTTTTGATCAATGATATATTCCTTTCAGTCCATTAAGCATAACTAAAGACACCCTTTTTGAAATCCCAACACAAAGTTTCATTCTTTCACCAAATTAAGTACTAAAAAAATCATATCTTATTCAACAAAAAATCAATCTTTTCCCTTTATTATTAGCTCAAAAAAGAGTCAATAGCAGAAAATAAGAAGTTTCTTGAGGTGGGTTTCTTAGCTAGTACAGTTCATAATATCAAAAGAGTTTAAGTTCTGTATACTGTCGATATGAAAAACATTTACATATCAATCAAAACATGATAATCATAACTATGTAAATTTGTAAAAATATCAACTAATTTGTTATCACAAGTTAAACTAAAGACACCCGTTTGATATCCAACAAAAAATTTCATTCTTTCACCAACAACAACAACAACATAACCAGTATATTCCCACGGTATAGGGTCTGGGGATGGTAATGTATACGCAGCTAGAGAGGCTATTTTCGATAAACGCCAAACTCACCAAATCAAGTAATTTTAAAAATAAAAATAAAAATAAAAACCTATCAAGAAGATGAAGCAAAAGATATAAATACCTGGAGCTAGAATACTCAAAGAGTTTTCCAGTAGATGAGAAAATAATGAGAGCAACATCAGCATCACAAAGAACAGAAAGTTCTTCAGCTTTCTTAAAAAGCCCTCTTCTTCTCTTTGAGAAAGTTACTTGTCTTGCTGTTGCGTTATCAATTTTCTTGATCTGAATTTTCTCTCTAGCCATAGTTGTTAATTATTGCTATTTTTGCTTTTCTTTCCAAAAATAGACAGAAAGAGTCAAGAGAGAGAGAGAGAATTAAGAGGGAACACAGAATAAACTAGAATACAAAGAAAGGTGTTTGTGGGTAAGAAGTCTATATGTGGGAGTTGTGACTTGTGACCTAAACTATAGAGGGGATGAGAGATGGACAAGGTTTTCGAGTTAGAGCCCTGGGTATGGAAAAATACTTGGTAGGGAGCGCTTCCTCCCGAATGGGTCCTGCGCGGCGCGAATCCGGATATAATCGGGCTCCAACGCGGGTACCGGACACCGGGTGGGAAACCAAAAAAAAAAAAAGTTATAGAGATTGTGTATAGAAGAAGGAACTTAATATAGTCGCTTTCAAAATAATAACCGAAAAATGTATACTTTATACGTTTTGTATGTTACATAAAAATATATATATAAATTTATACTCTCTATGTTTACTTTTACTTGTCCAGTATTCTACAAATAGATTTTCACTTTTACTTGTCACTTTTAGCATATCAAGAAAAGATAATTTCTTTTTTCCTATTATACCTATAGTATTAATTGCTCATTTTGAATGATCATTTTCTCAAATTCATTAAAAATATACATCAATTAATATGGGTATCTTGGTAAATTATGTGTTTATTATTTTTTAAGGGACGTGCAAAGTCCATAGTGGACAAGTAAAAGTGAGCGGAGGGAGTATATTTTTTCGACTAACGAATGTAAATAGTTTCTGGTGCGGACTAAAAGTGATAATACCCTAAAATAATTTACTGCAATAGATAGACTATTTTATTTTTTAAATTATTAATCTTACTTTTTATAGATCAAGAGTAATATGTAGCTGCCTTCTAGATGAGCTGATTGTATATTGGTATTTTCTTACACCGTCACTATATAGAATTAAAATTCATTTTCTATGAGTCTAGCCAATACACTGACTGTGTATGAAAAAATTTTACATTATCAAATTAACTAAAAAAAATAATTGCATATATATAACCATTAAGTTATAAAAAAAATAAGACAAATTAGGTTATATTTTAAGGGGGGACAAAAGCTTTTGAGAAAGCTGGCAGTATATTTTTTGCCAAAATTAAAAGGGAGTAAGAGAACAAAAACCCTAGAGAGAGATATCAGAAGCTTTGGATATAGCAAAAACAGTCCTTAATTTGGCCATTGATTTTGGTATTTCAGTTCCAGGTAATGAGAGAAGAGAAATAAATTAGGAAAGATAGGGATAGGCTGTAAAGAATTAAATGCTTTTTTTTAATTTAGTCTATTTTGTCAGGGTGTTTGGTTGGGTCATTGGTTATAGTGCTTTGGGTTTATTGTTTGTTTTTTGGAAACTTAAAAAAGAACTGTTGGGGAAAACAAGTCACCAATCAGTGAAAGAATATGTCTTATTGATTTTGATGATCTCAAAGTTTACTAAATTCAATAAAATTTTAAACTATTCTCAAGGATAGAAATATTTCTTCTGGTCCACTTTAATTAATTTTTTTTATTGTTTTCACATATATTAAGAAATTTATCTTTTAATATTGATTAACAATAAAATTAAATATATTAACCTTAATTTGTTCATTAAAATATAACAAATACTCCAAGACTCTTTACTCCGAGGGCAGCTTTAAAAAAAATTAATTCTTTCTTGATATTCGAAAAAATTAAATATTATGAACCACAAAAAAATGCCAAAAAATTAAGTAAAGTGGACCAGGAGGGTTATAAAGCAGTGGGTTTCAATTTGTTATACTCCCTCCATTCACTTTAATGATTTTTTTGAATGTTTTCACATATATTAAGGAATTCACTTTTTAGCATTAATTAACAATAAAATTGACCTACCTTAATTTGTTCACAAATACTCCTAGGTTCTTTATTCCAAGGGCAAATTTGAAAAAAAGAAGTTAATTATTTCTTGATATCTAAAAAATTAAACATTGTAGACCACAAAAAAATGGCTAAATAGTTAATTATAGTGAACCGGAAAAAGTAATAGAATAATCTGTAATAACATGCTAGTGACAAAATAAAAAAGAACGGTTCGATGTATAAAATATCCTATATTTACGGAAGGGCCGCATCTCATATTATATAATACAGACAGTCTATTTTAATATAAATATTAATGGTTATTCCATGACATAAGGTAGAACAAGATCTCTTTAAGAGAAGAGATTTGTCGTGCAGGTTTTCACTATTCAGTCAAGGGCCTCGTTTCTAGCCAACCACGTAGTGGTATAAATTTATTTTCATATTTTTGGCTTATATTATAGTTCAGTCCTTTTCCCATTTGTAAACTGCTTTTTACTCTTCTATAATTAGGAAAAAAGTCTAATGCCAGTAAAGATATTTAGGGCTCGTTAGGTATGAGGGATAAGAATTTTCGAAATTAAATTTGAGATAAGTTTATTCGATGTTTGGTTGAAATAAAATTACAATATAACTAATTTAGGGATTAATTTTGGGATTGTAGTATTATTTTTATCCTTTTGAGAGGGTGGATAATAATCTCTAAATAATTAATTCTGCAAACATAAAATAAAGCTAATCTTAATTTTATATCGAGATTATTATCCTTATCCCATGTACCAAACAACTTAGTTATCAAAGTTAATCTAGCTTGTATTGGGAAAAAACTGAATTTAAATATTGAAGATGACATGTCATGACACGTGGACCGGTCAAATAGTCAAAGCATGACAAACAGTTAGAAGACACGAGCAACAATAGATGCGGGAGAGAAGATACGAGCTACTATCCAGATAAAACGAGACTCGTACCTGTTCGATCCATTTAAAGCTCGAAGATCAGAAGGAATTGAAGATATGAATCTGATAGCGTAAAAGAGTCCAGATTCAACATTAAATGCCAAATACATTAGAGAATTTGTATTTAATAAGAATGATTGAATAACGTTTCTTTTAAATATCATTTACTGCTCGTAATTGCCTCATTAAGACAAAGATATTACACTTTCTCTTAGAATTGACTATAAAAGGAGAAAGTCACAACATTTGTAAAAAAAAATATCATTCCGATTATACTGAAATATACTCTTATTCATTGCTTTATTGTTGTTCACAAAATCTCTTATTTCTTGATTATCAGTAACCCGATTTCTCTATTAAATTCTAGCTTTAACCAAATATTCAGTTTTCTGGTTAAACAAATTGGTTCCGTTGCCGGGAATCTGATAATCTATTCTCTTTAAGTTACATTTTATCTGTTATTATCATCATGTCGAACAACAACAACAACAACAACAACAACAACAACAATAACAGGGAGAATACCTTGGGAAACCATGAACATCAAGTCCATCAAAATCAAGGTGATTTACAAAACATTAACGTGGTTCCTCCCCCTCAAAATTCACCACGTCAATCTCGTGAAGGCACTCCTACTCCTGAATCCCGGGCTGTTGAACAAGAGCAATCTGAATATTTTGAAGGAGCGGATGACGCTTTACAGAAAGTAATTGATGCACGGGTTAACAAAGCTCTTCAAACTCTTGTTAGTCGATTACCTGTTGCACCGCCCACACCTACGCCTAATAACAACACACTGGAGAATCCTCGTTCTGGCCTTATCAATTCTGGAAATGAAGGAACCCCCAGTGAGCCACAGGAAGGAGAACCAGGTAATTTAAGTAATTCTCATTTGCAAAATTTAGTACTAACTTTGCAGAAACAGCTTAAGGAACAAAATGAGCGCATCGAGCAAATCCCTGGTGTTCCTCCTGTGATCAAAGGAGTGGATGTGGATAAGTATTCGCAACAACCTTGGAAACCAAGTGCTGCTCCCCTTCCAATCCCTAAAAAGTTCAAAATGCCTGAAATCTCGAAATATGACGGCACAACAGACCCACGTGATCACGTAACTGCATTTACTACAAGTGTAAAAGGCAATGATTTGACCAAGCAAGAAATCGAATCCGTGTTGGTCAAAAAATTTGGAGAAACACTCACCAAGGGTGCATTAACCTGGTATTCTCTTTTACCTGAAAATTCTATAAACTCTTTTGCTGAGCTTGCAGATTCTTTTATTAAAGCGCACTCGGGAGCTCAAAAGGTTGAAAAAAGAATGGAAGACATTTTCAAAATTAAACAAGGGGACTCAGAGTTGCTCAGAGATTTTGTTGATAGATTCCAACGTGAAAGGATGACTGTACCCCGTGTACCTGATAATTGGGCTGCAATAGCTTTTGCAAGCAACTTAAATGATAAAAGTTCAGAAGCCACGAGAAGACTTAAAGAAAGCCTTCGAGAGTTCCCTGCAACCACTTGGAATGACGTTTATAACAGGTACAGTACGAAGTTGCGAATTGAGGAAGATACCGTACCTCAGTTTCATCATGAAGAAAGAAGCAATTCCAGGAGGTCAGAAACCGAAAAAAGATCAAGTAAAAACAGGTACGATCCATATATGGGACCTGCAAGAAAAGACTCACGGTCAAAGGAGGATAATCAACGATATGATCAAAAATCGAGGAACAGGGAATCTGGTTCTTCATCTAGGTTCAGAAATGACCGAAACAGACAAGAGTCGCGAGATGATGACAGAGGTTTAAAAGCGAGATTCGGTGGGTATAATTTCAATGTTACTACCTCTGAGCTCGTAGCTGTTTTAAGAGGCATGGGAGACAAGGTACGGTGGCCAAAAGAGATGTGGTTAAATCCAAATAGGCGCAATCCAGACCATTGGTGTGAATTCCACAATGATCACGGGCACAAGACTTCAGAATGTAGATTCTTACAAAGTGAAGTGGATCATCTATTGAAACAAGGGTATCTCACTGAGTTATTTAGTGAGAAAGGTAAACAAGCCTATATGAAAAATAGGCAAGAGCCACCAAAACCCCCATCACCCAAGAGAACCGTGAATGTTATAAGTGGGGGAGAAGATATTTATGGTGTAACATATACGGCTTCCAACAAGGTTTCAAAAGTAACGATTACACACGGGAAACGGGTACGGCAGGTTTTAGAAAATGAAAGTATTTCTTTCGATGATGCAGATACTGAAGGAGTGATGACCCCCCACAACGACGCACTGGTATATCTTTACTTGTACATGACACTAATGTAAAACGAGTTTTGATTGATCCAGGAAGTTCCGTAAATATTATACTACTGAGGGTATTGCGTGAAATGCAAGCTGAAGACCAAATGATATCGAAGGCGCATACCTTGTCCGGGTTCGATAATTCAAGTGTGGTAACAAAAGGAGAGGTAGTTCTAACAACTTTTGCTGCAGGTGTTGTTAAAAAAACTAAATTTCAGATAGTAGATATGGAAATGGCTTATAATATGATCATGGGGAGACCTTGGATCCATGATATGGAGGCTGTCCCATCAACTCTACATCAAGTTATTAAATTCCCATCTCCATGGGGAATATGCCAAATCAGAGGCGATCAACAAACATCTAGAAGCATTAATTCCGTTGCAGATTCAGTTGTTAATAGTGGAGACAAATAGCAATTACAGAATTTAGGTGAGGGTAACACGGAGTCAACCTCACCTGAGCAAAAGCAAACAGGTGTAGATTCGAGGCCTGACACCATTCAAGAACCAGAGGAGAACGAAAATATCAAAACAACGATAGAAGAGCTAGAGGCCGTGGTGCTGTTTATACATTGGCCCGAGAGAAAAGTATACATAGGAGCTAATCTTAGCCCGGAGGTAAAACGTAAATTGATTGAATTTTTAAAAGCTAATGCAGATTGTTTTGCTTGGTCCCATTCTGACATGACAAGGATACCACCGGAAGTCATGACTCATAAGTTGAATGAAATCCATCATATCCTCCTGTCAAGCAAAAGAAAAGGAAGCAAGGAACTTTCAAAAATAAGGTGATTCAAGAGAAAGTTCAAAAATTGCTAAAAATTGGTTCAATTCGTGAGGTAAAGTATCCTAACTGGTTAGCTAATACTGTTGCGGTTCCTAAGAAGAACGGTAAGTGGCGAGTTTGTGTAGATTACACGGACCTTAATAAAGCATGTCCAAAAGATTCTTTTCCTTTACCACACATAGACCAGTTAATTGATGCTACTGCAGGGCATGAGCTATTAAGTTTTTTAGATGCATATTCAGGCTATAATCAAATCAAGATGGATCCAGGTGATGAAGAAAAAACTTCTTTTATAACAGACAGGGGAACTTACTATTTACAAGGTAATGCCTTTCGGTCTTAAGAATGCAGGTGCAACGTATCAAAGGTTGGTCACACAAATGTTTCAAGAACATTTAGGTAAAACCATGGAAGTATATATAGATGATATGCTAGTTAAAACTTAACATTCAGAAGATCATATATCACACTTAGCTGATACGTTTAAAATTTTACGAAAATATAATATGAAGTTGAATCCAGAAAAATGTGCATTTGGAGTGACGTCAGGAAAAATTTTAGGTTTTCTTGTTTCTAACCGTGGAATTGAAGTGAATCCTGCACAGATTAAGGCCATTGAAGAAATTCCAGATATACTTTTTAACAAGAAAGAGGTTCAAAGATTAACCGGGAGAATTGCAGCTCTGGGAAGATTCATTTCCAAGTCTTCAGAAAAATGCTTCAAATTTTTCTCAGCTTTAAAGAAACAGGATCATTTTGAATGGAACGAAGATTGTCAGCAAGCACTTAAGAATCTGAAAGTATATTTGTCAAATCCACCGTTGTTGGCGAAACCAAAGGTAGGAGAGAAGTTACTCATTTATCTTGCCGGGTCAGAAGTTGCGGTAAGTGTTGTTTTAGCTCGAGAGGATCAAGGTAAACAATCTCCTATCTATTATGTAAGCAAGTCTTTGCTAGATGCAGAAATACGGTACCCGCAATTAGAAAAATTAGCGCTAGCCTTGATTATGGCATCTAGAAAATTAAGACCTTACTTTCAATATCATCCCATTGCTGTGGTTACTGTTTTTCCATTACGAAACATTTTACATAAACATGAATTATCAGGTAGATTAGCGAAATGGGCTATAGAATTAAGTGAGTACGACATCACTTATCAACCTAGAACTGCTATAAAATCTCAGGTATTAGCTGATTTCAGTCAGGGGATGTAATTAGAAGCTGAAAAAGAATTACAAGTTTTTAACAGTGCAAACCCGGGGACTTGGGTTTTATTCACTGACGGTTCATCTAACGTAAAAGGCGCAGGTTTAGGAATAGTTCTCGTACCACCCACGGGTGAAACTATTAGACAAGCTATAAAGTGTCATTCGATAACTAACAATGAAGCAGAATATGAAGCAGTCATTGCAGGTTTGGAATTGGCTCGGGAACTTGGCATAACCCAGATTATAATCAAGAGTGATTCACAACTTGTTGTTAACCAGATGTTGGGGACTTATGTGGCCAGGGAATCACGAATGCAAGAATACTTAGGAAAAGTACGTGAATTAATAAAGCAGTTTCAGACGTGGAAAGTTGTGCAGATACCAAGAGATGAGAATTTAGAGGCAGATGCTTTAGCCAATCTCGCATCTGCAGCAGACGTGGCAAAAGATGCAAATGCTTCAGTTGTACATTTATTCCATTCTATTCTCGAGCCTGATAAGAATGAGGTAAATTTTAATAATTTGACCTGGGATTGGAGAAACGAGATTGTTGCTTTTCTGCAGTATGGAACCGTACCTGATGACAAAAGGAAGGCACACGCGCTTCGTAAAAAGGCTGCTCGTTACTGTTTATATCAAGGAAACCTTTATCGAAAGATGTTCGGTGGTCAATTAGCAAGGTGTCTTGGACCTTCCCAAACAGAATATGTAATTAGAGAAATACATGAAGGACATTGTGGAAATCATGCGGGAGGAAGGTCGTTGGTAAAAACATTGATTCGAGCTGGGTATTATTGGCCTAAGATGGAAGAGGAAGCAAACAGTTTCGTGTCTAAATGTGATAAATGTCAAAGGTACGTGAATAATATGCATAGACCAGCTGAGTTACTGCATCCCGTCATAGCTCCGTGGCCCTTTATGAAATAGGGGATGGATATCGTAGGTCCATTACCACAAGCAAAAGGTCAGGTGAAGTGTCTACTTGTACTTACTGATTATTTCACTAAATGGGTAGAAGCGGGAGCATTTAAACTGGTACGAGAAAAGGAGGTCAAGACTTCATTTGGCGTAATATAATATGTCGATTTGGTGTGCCAAAGGAGATTGTTTGCGATAATGGCGCTCAATTTATCGGAGCTCAAGTCACTGAGTTTTTTGAGAGCTAGCAAATTAAAAGAATCACATCTACACCTTATCACCCAGTAGGCAATGGGCAAGCAGAATCAACGAACAAGGTCATTATTAACAACTTGAAGAAAAGGTTACAAGATTCAAAAGGTAATTGGCCTGAGGTATTACCTGGAGTATTATGGGCTTATCGTACAACGACAAAAACAAGCACGGGAGAAACACCATTTTCAATGGTTTATGGTGCAGAAGCCTTAATCCCAGTTGAAATAGGAGAACCGAGCACACGATATGCTCAGGTAACGGAAGAATCAAATGGTGAAGAAATGCGGGTAAACCTTGATTTGCTCGAAGGAAGAAGAGAAGCCGCATTAATAAGGATGGCAGCACAAAAGCAAGTGATCGAACGATATTACAACAGGAAAGCACGATTGCGATACTTCAAAACTGGGGACTTCGTGCTTAAAAGGGTTTTTCAATCTACAAAGGCAGCCAACGCGGGTAAACTAAGTCCAACCTGGGAGGGACCCTACAGAGTTCGGGACATTGCAGGAAAAGGAGCATACGAATTAGAAACAATGGACGGGAAGGTGCTTCCCTCACATTGGAATGCAGTTCATTTGAAGAGATACTACTTCTAAGGAAAAACCCACGGTCAGGTATCACCACGTTAAATTATTTATTTTTTGAATTGTTAAAATTTTACTAACGATTTTAGATGATAGGCAAAACGCTAACCCGTACTAAATGATGAGTCACGACCTGTAAGGCAAAAGGAAATAAACTAAAATTCCTAGCCCAGGGTTACAATTATTCTGATAGAAGTATACACGGGTTAAGCAGTCTTCATCTATAATCGCAC